GGTGGGTATTTATAAACAAACTTGATGAGTTTGGGAACAAAACAAGGAATAAAGGAAGGCTAGTAGTTCAAGGGTACAATCAAGAAGAAGGGATTGACTATGATGAAACTTTTACTCCAGTTTCTCGAATGGAGGCCATCGGAATTCTTATTGCCTTTGCATCTTATATGGATTTCAAATTATTACAAATAGATGTCAAAAGTGCCTTTCTGAATGGCTTCCTAAAATAAGAAGTCTTCGTCAAGCAACTACCTGACTTCGAATGTCATGAGCATCCTGAGCATGTTTCTAAACTCGACAAGGCCTTATATGGACTGAAGAAGGCTCCTCGTGCATGGTATGAAAGGTTGTCCAAATTTCTTCTAGAAAATGGCTTTATAAGAGGAAATATTGACAATACCTTATTTCTGAAGAAATGGGGGAGGAACTTGCTTATTGTGCAAGTTTATGTTGACGACATCATCTTTGGTACAACAAATGATTCTCTATGTGAGTAATTCACAAAGCTTATGGGAAGTAAGTTTGAAATGAGTATGATGGGGGAATTGAATTTCTTCTTGAGTCTACAAGTCAAGCAAACTCCTAAGGGCACAATGATAAGTCAGCAGAAGTATATCAAAGAGCTTCTGAAGAGATTTGAAATGGAAAGCTCAAAAATCATTGATACTCCCATTACCACTACCACTCGTCTGGACATGGATGAACCTGGTTCACCTGTGAATGAGACCATGTATAGAGGTATCATTGGGTCACTCATGTATCTCACAGCAAGCAGACCGGATATCGTTTTCAGTGTGGGACTGTGCGCCAAATTTCAATCTAATCCAAAAGAATCCCATCTGAAGGCTACCAAGAGAATCTTGAGATATCTCAAAGGAATGCAGGACCTGGTTCTCTACTATCCCTTAGGAGACAATTTTGATTTAATCGAATATGCTGACGTTGATTATGCTAGTTATCTAGTGGATAGGAAAAGCACTTCTGGCATGGCACATTTTCTGTATTCATGCCTAATCTCATGGGGTATAAGAAAACAAAACTCAATGGCTCTTTCAACTGCAGAAGCTGCATATATGGCAACTGCCTCTTGCTGTGCTCAACTGTTGTGGATCATGAAGCAGCTGGAAGATTTTGGTGTGTTTTCTGATTGCGTGCCCTTACTATATGATAACACTAGTGCTCTCAACATGGAAAAGAATCCAGTTCAACATAAGAGAACAAAGCATATCGATGTGCGACATCATTTCCTCAGAGATAATGTTGAAAAAGGTCTTATCTGCATGAAATTTTGCAGCACAGAAGATCAAATTCCAGATATCTTCACCAAAGCACTAAGCAAAGAGCATTTTGAAAAGAATCGCGTGGCACTAGGGTTGATAAAGTCAAGCTGAGGACCTGGTCCCTCGATGATTGGCTATGAAAGAAATGAATAGGCAAAATAGATAAAAAGTGTTTTCTGGCAAGGTCTAACTCATCTCTATACCGTTGCAGGTAGACACACATGACGATTACAGAGCAAACGAGTAGCTAATGGTATCGCACTTTGGTCAAAGTATGAAGTTCACATTTACAAAATATGTCAGGGAACCTCGTTCCCTTGACACAGGTTAGTAGTTCCTCTGTACTTTCATCCACAACTTTTTAACGGCTACAACGGTGCCACGTCATTAAATATCAGTTTCTCTCTTTACTTTTTGTTTGAACCCAAGTGTCCTACCCGTTATGAAACGACCCGTCTACCCAAAAATTGATACCCGTTCCTAATCGGTCTCTCATCCCTCTTAAATAAATCCACACACGGTCACTTTTATAACTGTTCACACCACAAGCCAAAATTCCCCTTTTTCTTCAACAACCAAACACTCCCTTCTTCCATCAACTCTCACTACACTCCACCATGTCTGAAAATCTCGAAGCCAAACCTGTTCCAAGCATCGTCCCCATTGCGTCTTCATCTATTGAAGCACCAGTGATAGAGCCTATGAACCTTACGCCACCCACTCCAAACCCTAAGCTAGAGTCACAACCATCCAATGTATCTTCTCCAACCCAATCAAGTACTGGTTCTCATCGGAGTCACAAAACCTCGACTCCCAAGAAGTTTGTGGCTACGACCTCTTCTTCTGCCTCGCCAGAAAAAATGGTCGAAGACAATACAGTTGGGGGAGAAGAAAATCAAGAAATTTCTAGTCGGCCAATGGAAGAAGGTTTTTGAGTTTGAGATACAGCATGGCGTGGGTCGTAATAGTGATGCATCAGCAATGACTATCCCAGGCCTTGATTTGAATATCTCCGATTTTACAGGTAATGCTCCATCTATGTCTTCTGAGTTTACTTTGGGGTTGCAAGAACAAGAGGCTATAAATAATATGTAGTCAATCTCTGCTGAAGGTTGTGTGGTTAATGGTTATGAAGGCATGTCTGAAACAAATGGGTCTTAGGGGGAAGGTGATAGTCTACTGGAAGAAGGAAGGGAACTGGTGCCTGTCGAAAATCTGGTACCAAACAGTACTACTGGGAACCTCCTGAGGCACCTGATCCCTCCACACAAGAGGAGCCTTATGCTCCTACTTGGGATGAAACCCCCTGTTCTTCCAAAGAACCCAGGTTAGTATTGATCCCGCTCCCTCTCCTCACTTTTATACAGAGTCATTGTATATTGTTGCTCCTGAGATGTGATTTCTGTCCGAAGAAGAGAATGCGGATAGTGAAGAAGACTATGACGATGTGGCTCTTGCGAGTTTTATTAGTGCTTGGAGTAAAAGGGCAACTCCCAAACCGCCCACTCCTAAAAGACCTACTACTATGCTGCAAAAGAAGGAAGCTCTTGAGTCAGTGCTACAGAAAAATAAGGAAGAAAAGAAGAGGAGGAGGTTGATGAAGGGTGGCAACTGGTTGAAATTTGTGAATTTCAAAAGTGGACATATCTGTTCACACAAGAGAGTCCCAAGGTGTATGAGGCTGAGGTACGCAGTTTCTATGCCAATACTGTTGAGGATGATAATATATGCTTGAAGGTAAATGGGGTTGACTTTGTGTTGGATGAGACTGTGTTGGCCATCATCTTGGGAGTGCCTACTAATGTTATATCCTCCATTAAAGGGACCTGCTCTTCAAATTTCAGAATGCCATTCTGAAGGATGATGTAGTCCAGTAGGGGGAACGGGTACACAAGAAGGCCCTCCTTCCAGTATAACAACTGTTATTCGAAATGGTGAACAAAGTGTTGCTCCTTCATATGGAATGACATTCCATTACATCCCGAGCAGACCTCTTCCTAATGGATGCATATTCCACCATAAATCTGCCGGGAATCATGATTGAACACATAAAGAAAGTAGCAGATTTCAAGGATGGTAATCACGGGCTGCCCTGTGGGTTTCTTCTCACCAAAGCTTTCGAGTTCTTCAAAGTTCCTCTAGGAAAGGCCATGGTGGGTACTCGCAAGCAGAGTTTCTCCAAAACCACCTTGGAAGAGTGTGAGTGCATCGATAAGAAAGGAGGGGTTGGCAGCAATTTCACTATCTCTTAAATAATTGCAGCTCAGAATATCGCAAATGAAGAGATAAGGAAGTTTAAGGCAAGGAATGTTATCCTTAAGGGTCAGCTTAGTCAGGCCCAGGAGGCACCTGGTTCCAGTAGCTCACAAAGTATAGAGGTTGTTCGTGTAACGACCCGGCCGGCCGTTTCGAGTATAACAACATCATTCCCCCATTTACTACTCACTTTATGCTTTATAGTTGTTGTATGACTTGACGGGATGATTGGTTCGGGTCTGGAAGGATTTCGGAGTGAAATGAGACACTTAGTCTCATAATTGAAAACTTAAGTCGAAAAAGTTGACTGGATGTTGACTTATGTATAATCGACCTAGGATTTGAATTCTGATGATTCCAATAGCTCCGTATGGTAATTTTAGACTTAGGAGCGTGTCCGAAAAATTATTTGGAGGTCCGTAGTGAAATTAAGCTTGAAATGGCGAAAGTTGAATTTTTGGGAAGTTTAACTGGGGGTTGACTTTTTGATATCAGGGTCAGAATCCGATTCTAGAAATTGGAATAGGTCCGTAATGTGAAATGTGACGTGTGTGCAAAATTTGAGGTCAATCGGATGTAATTTGATAGGTTTCGGCATCGGTTGTGGAAGTTGAAGTTTCAAAGTTCATTGATTTTGAATTTAGGTGTGATTCGTCATTTCGATGTTGTTAGGTGTGATTTGAGACCTCGATTAAGTCCGTATTATATTATGGAACTTGTTGGTATATTTGATTGAGGTCCCAGGGACCTCGGGTGAGTTTTAGACGAGGTTCAGATCTATTTCGTTGCATATTCCATTGTTGAAGGCTGCTGGTTCTGGTGTTTTCGCACCTGCAAAAATGGGCTCACAGGTGCGATGGTCACAGGTGCGATAAAGGCATCGCAGATGCGAGATGAGAGCTGGATGAGGAGGCCCGCAGAAGCGGAAGCCAGGGCGCATATGCACATGCGCAGAATCGGCCAATGTGCGTAGAAGCGCGATCGCAGGTGCGGCCCTAGGCATCGTAGGAGCGATCATGGATGGCCAAGCTGTTCTAGCAGAAGCTAGATTTTTCCAGCAGAAGCAGAAGTCGCAGATGCGACCTGTTGTCCGCATGTGCGGATTGACTAGACAGAACCCTTTAAGTTCGAGGGTTTGCGATTTTTCACCTATTTTCGGATTTTGGAGCACGGTTTAGGCGACTTTTGGAGCAATTTTCATCACAAGGATTGGGGTAAGTGTTCTACACTTGGTTTTGATCTTATTCCATGAATCTACCTTCATTTTGGGTAATTGTATTGTGAATTTTAAAGAGGAAATTGGGGGTTTTGGCCTAAAGTTTCATAATATAATTTTTTGAGTTTTGAACATCGAATTGGAGTCGGATTTGAGTGAAACTAGTACGGTTGGACTCTTAATTGAATGAGTTGTTGGATTTTATAAATTTTGTCGGGTTTCGTGGTGCAGGCCCGGATTGGGATTTTGGTCGATTTTGGGCTTTTGATTCAAGATTTGATCTTTTTCGATCGGGATTGGTTCCTTTAGCTTTGTTTGATGTACTTGAGTTATTTTTGGTTAGTTTCGAGCCGTTCGGAGGTTGGAACGAGCGGGATGGCATCTTTGGAGCACCGTTGGGCTTGCTCGGTAGTGGTATTGGCTTGTTCGAGATAAGTAACTCTTCTAATCTTGGAGCTGAAGGTATGAAATCCTGAAATACGTGTTATGTGATTTGTGTTGAGGTGACGCACATGCTAGGTGACGGGCGTGTGGGCGTGCACCATGTGAATTGGGACCCTGTTGTTTCCATGGCACGGTATAGTGGTCCTACTTTGTTGATATCCGTATTTTCACCATGTGATAAAGTAATTGAGCTACCAATCATGCTAGATACTATGTTTAGGCTTTATGACGATACTGCTAGGACCCATAGTGGTCGTTTCTTGCTGTTATTTTACTGATTTCATTGATATTTCGTACTGAGTCATATTCATGCATTCATATCATATCTCAGTCTCAGCAATTTATTGATACATCATATCATTGTTGTCGGGATAGTTTCATGGCATTGTGAGCCCGTGTGTGAGACTGGAGAGATTGATGACTGAGTGAGGCCGGGGGCCTGTTTGTGAGGTTGTTGGCACTATAGCACATGAGTTGTCCGTGCGATTCTAGATGCTGATATTATAGCATGTGAGTTGTTCGTGCAGCACACGAGTTGTCCGTGCGATTCCAGATATTAATATTAAGGCACGTGAGTTGTCCGTGCAGCACGTGAGTTATCCGCGCGGATATAGCGCTTGGGCTGAAAGGTGCCCCTCTGGAGTCTGTACACCCAGTGAGCGCAGTCGACTATAAATATGGATCGGGCTACACGCCGCAGTAGGTAGCGCTGAGTGATTGAGTGTCCTGAGCATTGAGCATAGTGAGATAGGTGCCCCTTCGGAGTCTGCACACCCCTAGTGAGCGTGGTCGACTATAAATATGGATCGTGTTGCACGTCGCAGCGGGTATTGTATAGCGCTGAGTGTTTGAGTGTGCTGAGCATAGTGAGAGAATGCGAGAGAATGAGATTGAGTACTCTGAGAGTGTGAGTACATGAGCTCATTATCGAGATGCATTGCATTTGACATGCGTACTTGAGATACATGCATAGAGGAGCATTTTCTTCTGCTACCTAGTTTTGGGGACATTTATTATTTTACTTGTATCTTGACATGTAGGCATAGAGATGTACTTTCCTCATGCTATCTCAAAATGAAACATCTTACTATTTGTTGAAATGAGTTTTGGAAAAAATCATAGTTTTCAAACTTACTCGTATATTGGGTTTTCGGTAAAAGACTTGGATTTTCACATAGATACTTGAAAAGAAATGCCTATTTTTCTGGAACTGTGAACGAATTGAGCCTTTTATTTATGAGATTCTTCTTTTGTTATAGTACTATGCTGTTATGAACTGTTGTGGAATATTGGTGTTGGACCCGATATTTTTTATTTTATTTTTGTTAGCT